GATTTATATACTCGTAGATTCTCTGCGAAGAAAAATATACTGGTTGACTCCGTAGCAAAAAAAGGCGTTACAAAAATGGTGTTTTTTGAACATAATAGAGGAGATATATTTGGTTTTTTTTGCACTGAGCGTATGATTTTGTTTCTGGTAGACAACGATGCATATCATGGATAATGTAAAGAAAAATTATGTATATATTTTCATTGTGATGTCATGTCTTTCTACGCATGTCAAATCGTGAACTGTATACGCATTTAGATAGTCCTTTTTCACTCTTTTTTGTCTATTCTTATGTAACTGTAAAAGATAAAAAAAGAACCATTAAATCACCGATTATGCGATCTATCATATTTAGTTAGTCATGAGACTATTTTTACATTGTCCAAATCAATGAGTACATTTCTTATTCACTCAACTAAACAGAGAATCATATGTAATTAAATGAAATGCTATTGTATGTTTATATGTTTGCACTGACATGCATAGTCACGTGTCCAGTTGTATTTGTAAATATATTTCATAAGCAGGAATGCCAGATCTTTCGATATGCCAGGAAAAACTGCGATTAGTCGACTCTCCACTGAAACACTTGAAGGATTAAAATTAATACAAATATCAAAATTACATGGGCTTAATCAAAATTGAAAATCTGATTTTTGTGAAACCAAATCAAGATTTTAATTGATTATAGTTGGATTAGAATATTCTAATAGTCAACCGACACTGATTATAATTTTGATTATAATAGATTATAATTTTAATTTTGTTACATGAAAATCCGATCTCGATTATTCTCATAGGATTTTGAAACTTTAATCAACTTTTATTGCTGGAATTTTTTTCTGACTTGTTACCTATACATCTGCTTTACTCAATTATTGTTGCCTGATAATTTATTTCATATTATTATTACCTATTAATAAATTTTAATCTATTATCACTTCTTAATCAATATGAATCACACACACACACACACACACCAAAGATGGACGCTTTTCTCCAGATTCGAACGCGATACTCTAATGTCGCATGATTTTTTCCGATCGTTTGTATTCTCGAAGCCATGAAGTTGTTATCAAGCAAAACTCTATCAAATAAAGTAAATTTGAAACCATTACATAGATTGTTGCAAATTGAGAGGATGAATTATATCAGAAACCGATTTAAATCGATAAAAACAATGAAAAAGCCAATTTAAATTAATTAAAATATCTTCATCAATTTTAATCAATTGTATGTCTATTTTTGCCTTATTCTATGTAATATATCTTTGTATATGGATTGCTTTTCTAATTTGGTTCTTCACAGGTTGTACTCATTTCATATGCGCCCTCCTACTGTCAATAATAATCATTTTGACTTCATACTGTAAATTTTCGAAAAAATGAAAAATTAATACTAGTTTTAAACAATATTCGAAATTTTATGGCTCTTTTGAGAAAACCATTGTACTAATAATGACTGTTTTCAAAGCCTTCATATCATTTCCTCACTGATGACTTAAGAAAAAGTAGAAATATTGTTTTCATTTTTTTTTCTATTTTTCTACTTTATTTTAGATTCATAACATATGAAATGGAGTTTTGAAAATGTCTCCACATGGTTGACTGATAATGATTTGGATAATTAGGTGAAAAAATTTTAATCTATCAACGATTCATTTACTATTCTACTGTTTCGTCTATGTTCCATCTATTTCAAAAGAAAAAGAAATTGATGATTTATATCTTGATAGCATTTAAGTTCATTATCACTTGAAGAGTTATTATCAATGAATACAGATGATAGTGTTGATAACAAATCAATCATTCAGCTTCAAAGAACAGACAAAATAAAAACTGGAGACTTTAAGAAAGAAAGTTTTGTCAAATAATAAATAAGTGTATGTTTATTTGCTTTAGCTGTTTAACGGTTGTCTTTTCTATTTTAGTAGAACTGTGATATTAAACAAAAAACATCTGATACATTTAAACAATTGCATTTCCATGAATTAAATATTTTGTCATTTTTCAATTATTCCAGTATTAACAGTTTATATCACTACAGAGAACAGCAGTACCAACTGAAAACATCTCTTTCAAGTTCATATACATAAATCCCATTGCTGATCAATCACTAGTAAATTCAAATAATTTACAACTTACTAATGTACCATTTGGCCAATGATGCATCAACTGTTAGATGATTATTCAACAAAATGCCAATCAAGTAAAAAAAAATTTCATTATATTACGTGCCTCCAAAGTTTGATAAAGCTTTTCAAGAAGTTGTGCAAGATCCATCACTAGAAGGCTTTGGAGAAAGATGATAAAAGAAACAATAATTGTTATAGAGTAATTCGTCACAATGCATTCAATACTGATAGCATTGGTTTTTATCCAGCATTATCTAAATTTGATCGAGTAATGATACAGGATCGCATATATTTTTATCTTTACTTGAGTTTTTTCTCGTTCAGATACTTTTAGCATCAGTATTAAGATAAACATTTTCTCATGGTCAGCATATATACAGTTATTCGTTTAAGGCATCATGAAAAAAACGATCAATCATATGATCATCAAATGCCAGGACAATAATTCAAATATATGAAGATGGATCGACTATTTTGTCAAGTATAAGTCAAACTAATGTTTTATATTCTCTGATTCGTTTTTGTCGTTTTAGGAAATAATATTTAGTTTTAGAAAAAGAAGAATCAAATGAGTTTTTGATGCAATTATGTCATCAATTTGAATTGATGAAAGTTTCAAGTAATACAACTAATAATAATGACGAATAAGTTAAAGTTACAATGGATATTACGTATATATATATCGTCAATGTATTCTTCAAGAGAGATGAAACCAATCAGAAGAATCCCCGAATCGTATCTAACTGTATTAGTAAGTAATTGGTAAGTCGTAAAGCATATTTTTTTTTTGATCGATTATAATAACACCTTCAAATATTATTGAGTTTGAACAATTCATTCAAATACTTTGGCATAATTTCACAATCACATGTGAATTAATTTTTTTTGTTTTTGTTTTCTATGAACAGCTGATTTGTAAAATCAAATCAATCTTCATTGTGGTTTATTTGGTGAATAAATAGTTCAAGCATTTAAATGCAGTTGTACAAAATTATTCCGATATTTTGATGATCAAACAAGAAAATATATTTCTAAATGTAATACATTATATTAATCTATCTATTATGTTGAAATATTGCTTAGATAAAATCAAAAATCAATTGAAAAAATTTCAATGTGGTGAAGAATTTACACAAAGCAGATGGAAATGGCTTATTTTTTGTGAAAATCGTACTTTTTTCATAATAACGACTGATTAAGAATTAGCGTGAGAAACTTCATTCAATAATGTGTAGTTGGTTAGTGTTTTAAAATAAAATTTTTTAATAGAAATTTAAAGAATACCTCTTAAGAATTAATCATGAGAAATAAGTGTTTTTTAGTGTTATTTCTCATCTATTTTTGTATTCTAAGTAGTGAAAACTAATCTTTTCATGGAAAAAAATGCGATGTACACAGAAAACAAGTCATATTCACGTGTTCTATATAACTTGTCTGCTATGTATGATTATTGTCTATTATTTTCTATTTTAATGAAAAATCAATAAAGCATAAATTTTCATCTATTCTATTCTAGATGTTACAGCTATTGAGATGTATTCTTCAATAAAAACGAATTATATTAACTAGTAGTTCACTACAACGTAAACAATTACTACAATCGATTGACATAAATTTTGATATAATTATTTCTGAGTTTGCTGAAGACCTTGATCTTTCGTTACATAAAAAAAAATAATCTTTCTCAATATGTTATTGATACAAGTGAATATAAATATCGTCATCTCTATCAATAAATTAAACCGAATGAGAATAAAAAAAAAAACAATTTAATTATTATAGGTGCTGATACAATGTGCTTATTAGATAATGTTGTCTATGGAAAACCATGTGATAAAGAAGATGCTTTTCATATGCTAAAAACATTTTCTAATAATACTCATCGAGTATCTACTATTGTTTGTATTCTACAAGACGAGATAACCATAAAGACATTTTTTCGAAATGCCTATATTGAAACAAGTAAACCAATGAATAAAGTGGGGACTTTTGGCATACAATCATTGGGTGTAATATTGGTTAAGAAAATAGGTAGTGACTATTTTAATGTAGTTGGTTTTCTTATTTATCATTTTTGTATAGAATTGAAGGAATTACTTAATAATGAAATCGAACAAAAAGAAAGATTATTTGCTAAAAATTGACAGAACAAATATAAGCAATTTGATCATTAAATATTACTTTTAATTATTGATCATTGTCACATGTTAATCAAGTGAATCGTGATTGATAAAGTTTTCGTACCGCTTTTCATTATTCTATGGTTTATTAGTCGATTTTTTTAGTTTTAAGATCTTTGGAGTAAATAGAAACAACTAGAATATATGCGTAACTGTCAAGTTCTTTTGAAAGACAATTGATTTAGAATAATAGTCAATACAATCGAAAATAACATCTTTAAACTTTTCTGAAAAAAAGAAATAGATTAATGGTTTGTGTAAATTTGCTATCAATAGGACACAAAATTCTGAAGATTTTCATTGCAAATAATTCATTAAATTGCTAAGCTTTATAATTAAACCGATGATGAAAATGAGATGATCAAACTTGTCAATTTTAGTATCATTAGAAATGCATTGTTTATTCTTAATAATATCTTTCAAGCTAAAAACTTAAACAATAGTATTTGTTTCATCGATGAACAACAATAGTTAAAAGAACTCAAGTCATTTAGTTCAAAAAAAACTGTTCGAGTTGTACGCATGAAAATTTTGCATTAATAATATCCTTACATGTTTTAGTATTATATCTCTTCATATTGTTTCCTTCATTATGGAATTAAGTATATGAATAAATAGAGTCAATAGAGAAATATCTAATAAAAACAAAAATATATATATTTATCAATTTTATTTAGATATTTTATTTATCTTGGAAACATGTGGCGTTTTGGTGTACGAAGAGTAAATACTTTATGATAACGACGCCGTTCACCTGTACGTTTATAAGGTGGCCGTTCAATATTCATAAGTTTATTCGGTACAATAGCACCAACTGGATCAACAACTTCTTCATAAGCTTCATTATATGTTGTTGCTTCTCGAAGAGCATTGAGTAAATTTGGTTGTAATGAATATTCATTAGGATAAGAAATTGATGGTGTTGCTTTTTTATCTAATGTTTGAATCTTTGTTTTCTTCGATGAAGATGGTGTTTTAATATGTTCAGCTATTTGAACACTTGTATTATAATCTGTCATAGTTGATTCTATTTTTTTTGCATATAATTTTTTTGCATGAGTTAATTCAGCATCAAGTTCATGAATGCGGTGAACAACAGATGCATTGAAATCGTATTTTTTACGTTGCGATGCTGATAAATGAGATGATTCACCATCTAATAAAGAAAACAAGACAAAGAAACTTATCAAAAGTATGGAGATATACGAAAATAATCGAAGAACTCTGGAAAAACATTAAAAAAGAATAAACTGAACGTGTTGATATGCAAAAAAAAATCTGAAATAAATTTGAAGATATCTACGAATGGTTTATTAATTTCTAAGATCGAACGAGAGAGCCGAATATTTTAAGTCAACATCTAATCTTGCCTATTTTGTAGTTGCGTTTACTAATAAGATTAATTTCACGAATTTTAAACATTAATAAAATTTGATTATTCCAATTATATAATTAATTTATGTCGAGTTTTCTACTCATAGACATCTTTTTCTGTAAAGATTTTCAATTAATATTTACTTAAATAAGAATAATCAGGTAAATCAGTAAGTGGTCCATGTTCTTCATCATCTTTAGGTAATTTATGTCTAAAATAAATAAAAAAATAATAAAGTTGTACTTAAATTAATTTATCAAATCTTACTGAGCACGCCAATATCTATTTGGATCTGATCTTTTCCATCTATTTGTAAGTAAATCTTTTGAAAAAGCACGTTTTGCAATGATTGAACAACGAGCAAGCATTTTTATATCTAATTTCCAAATGAATTCTATTGATTCATCCTTTTTCAAACTTTGACGACCTCTAGATCAACGTATTTTTATTGGTTTTCAATGAATATAAAACCATCATCGAGGCACTAAATATATTGCGTTCGAACATGTCCGTTATTTTGCACTCGATGTAATTCATTGTTAATGAACATGTTTCTTTAGTTATTATTATTATTATTTTTTGTTTGTTTATTTATTTTTTTTAGATTTTAATTTTATTTTCTCGTTTATATAAAATTTGTTTCTCTTTCTCTCATGGGTACAGATAGCAAAACAGCTATACAACAACCATCGTCGAAAGTAGCTCTTGTTTCATCATCATCATCATCATTGAAAAATATAAAAAAGAAAAAATCTAAAACTAGTCATCATAAATCGAAACATAATAAACAACAACGTTCAGAATCATCATCATCACGATCATCAAATGAATATGAACGTAATACAACAACAACATCATCATCAAAAAAATCCAATAAAACAAAAAATTCTAAAGAAAAAAATAAATTATCTTCAACAAATGATACACGTCATCATGATAAAAAATCTTCAAATAATAAAAAAAAATCACATCGTTCAAAACATGATTCATCAGAATCACCACCAAAAAGAAATAATACAACACGAAGTCGTTCAAAATCAAGATCAAGAAGTGATAGATCTAGTGACAGGTTAGTTCTTTAAATATCTTATATTCAAAAATAAAAAATATATATTTCTATTGAAACTTTTGCTTTCACAATAAACCAAAAATAAATTTCGTATTTTAAATGTGATAAAATAGTTTAGTGGTTAGAGTTGTTATCTTTATGGTTAATGGTTCGATTCTACTTTAGAGCAATGCAATGATATGATGAAGTTCTAAGAGATAGGGACATATGAAATTCAACAGAATTTTTCAAAATGATTTCATCATCTCTACTGATCATTGCAAAACAAAAATACATTTATATTTCAATAAATATAATCATAATTTTGTAACTTTATCTTTTCAAAATTATCGAAATTTGTTTTTGTTTATAAATTTAAAATCTATTACATATAATTTAAAAAGAAATCTATAAAAATTTATTGTTTATATTAAATTTAGATCATCCTCACCTGAATCATCATCACGTTATCGTCATAAAAATTCACTTCGTCGTTCTGGTTCAAATATGCAAAATGTTTATTCACCAATGACTCATTCAAATTTTCCTCCAAATATGCCACGTCATTATCCACCACCAAATGCTCTTCATCCTCGAGATGCTAGAATGCTTCCTTATATGCCACCATCAATGATGGGTGGACCACCTATGCGCAATAATAATGGTAATCGTCGATCTGGTGGTAATAGTCCACCACAATCTTTACTCGGTGGTTATCGACCACCACCTGGTAATTTTCGTGGTCGTGGTGGTGGAATGAATAATCCTGCTTATATTCATAATATGGCTAATATGCTTAATCTTATACAACAACAACAACAGCAACAACAAAAACAAAAGCCAGGCTCACAAAAATATGCTAATCCAAATAATCCAAATAATCGTTTTTATCAACAATTTCAAGATAATTATAAAAAAATAAGTCAGGGACAAAAAATAAGTAATTTATATCAAGCATCATTTCCTGTTCAACATATACCACGTGAAATGCGTTTTAATTTTCGTTTACTTGGACGAAATATATTTACAGCATCCGATGAAGAAGAAGAACAGCAACAACAACAACAACAACAACAACAGCAACAACAAACAGCATCAACATCAGAAAAACGTTCAAAACAAAGACATGATTCAAGTTCATCATCAGATTCGGATTCTGATAATGATCGTCGAAGACGTCGTGACGATGATGATGGTGAAGAAGAAAAAACAACAACTACTACAACAAAGTCAAAATCATCACCAATACAAAAAACATCTAATGAACAAAAACGTTCATCAACAAAAACTAATCGAAATCGTCCATCATTAACAACAACAACACAACATTCAAAAACAATTCAACCTCCACATGACCTTTTAACTGATCCAGCTAATTTAAGTACACTTTTAGCTGGTATTATGCATAGTGAAAATCCAGAAATAATTGCTAATACCTTAGTTACTGCTGCTGCTGCTGTTAATAGTAAACGAGAACGAACAAAAAAACAATTAGAAAAAAAAGTACAAAAATTTAAAAATTATGCTCGATTTCAACAAATACAAGCAGCTGCTGGTGGTGTTGTTCCACAAACAAATCCCGAAGAAGTCGAAAAGAAAATTCATGGCCTTGCTAGACGATTGGTAAGTGAAATAAAAGTCAATCTTCATCTTTCAATTGCTAACATAAATGAAATAAACTAGAAGAAAAACTTTTCAATATTACAATTTCGAACATTTTCATATGCTATTTTAAATTCAGACTGTATTGATAGGTTGATTCAAATCAATCAGTCACTAAAGTAAAATTCAGTTACTTTTTATTACGTAACGAAAGAAGTAATAATTGAATTGGTTAGTTATATTAGTGTTGAAAATAACTTTCAAGAAACTTCGAAAGACTTTGTACTATTTCAGAAGAACAAAGTCTCTATTTTTACTTTCCTCAATCAAATATTATGTAGTAAGAAGTTTTTACAGAGATTCAATTCATATGTTTTTAAGTGTTGAGATATGTTTTACAACACTGAAATAAAGTCTGACTGATTGAATTTTTTTTTATACTAAAATTATTTGTTTTCCTTTTCTAGCAAATGAAAACAATTGGTTTACATGATGATTATGAGTCGCAAGGTATTAAACGATCTGATGAATCTAGTGGAGATTCCGATGCAAATGAACGTCGTCATCGTTCATCTGGTTCAAGTACTGAACGTTCAAAAGATAAAGATGTTGGAAGTGATGCTAGTACAAATTCTCAAAAACAACGTAAACTTAAAAAATTGAATAAACGACCAAATAAGAAAGTAATTCATCTATAGAAACAAATATTCTTTTTCTTTTTGTTCTTAGATTGTACAACTATTGATTTATTTCTTCTTTTTTTTTTTTTAAGGTAAATTCTACTGGTCAATCAATTGGTTCAAGTGATAGTGAACAACATCGTTCAGATGGTAATGATAGTGATGGAAGTATGCTTAATTTAAATGAAGATCTTAAACCAATTAGTTATTATATCAAAAATCGTGAACGTATGCTTCATGAAATGTTTCGATGTGTTCGTGGTCACAAACTTCAGGCTATATTACCAGATGCACTGAAGGTAACATTAGTAAAAGTATATGATTGTTGTTATTATTATGATAATTATTATAAAAAGATAATAATGAGACGAATGATAACAAGGAAAAATCGAATGAATTTTTTTATTTTATTTTTCACAAATATTTTTTGGTCTAATTTCAATTCACATAAACAAGTTCGTTTGATAATCGATCCTTGTTTTAGATTAATTTATATTATCTATCAGGCGTATTCAAACAGCATCGAAAATTATTATCGACGAAAAGTGTTTTTTGTTTTTTTGTTTTCTTTTAGAGGGCTTTCATTTATGTTAATATCATCGTCCCCTTTCCTTCAGATACACATAATTGGGAAAATAAACATACTTTTTCTTCTTTTTTAATATTCTAATTTTTATTTATTAATTTGTCGTAAGTATAGTTTTTGTTTCATGCGAGTCATTTTTATTATTTTTCTAAATAATAATAATAATAATATGCGCGAATAGAATTTTTTTTTTATCGCCTAGATTTAATTTTTCTTTTAAATATTCTTCTAGACACGTTCTCTTGACGAAATAAAAGCAAAATGTCTCGATCAACTCGATATTTTATCAAAAAAACGTATTCGAGCAATATTAATAGGTAAGAAAAAAAAAAAAAACAGAAAATTTTATTTATTTTAAAATTTAATTTTCTTTTTAAATTTTAGCACAACCAATGACATCATCAAGTGGTACGGAGGACAGTACAGACGAAGATGAACAAGATTTTTTTACATGTATGTATTATTTTAAAGTTTTTATTATTTTTTCATATTAAAAATATTTTTCCTTGCTATGATGTTTACATATTTCTTCACGTTAATCTGAGGATTTCTCTTTGATGATAATTATCTATTCAGATAATATTATTTTTCTGAGCAAGACTTTTTTTTTCTCAAAATCATTTTTCTTTTAGTTTTTATTCGAAATCAAATATTTCGTATTTTATTAATTAAATTTACGTTCTGTTTTTTCTTTCTAGTATATCCACATTTGAAATCATCGTTAGATACAACAAATAATAATGTACCAAATGCTACAACTACGAATACATCAACAGCAACACCTTCGACAGACAGTAATAAAAAGTAAGTGATATTTTGAATTAGAATGTCAGTTTAAATAAGATGATCTGAATACATTGTTTGCTTTTTCCAAACCAAAAAAAAAAACAAAATCAATCTAACTGAACGATTTATTTACTTTTTATTTTCAAATTTTGAGCATCAAAGAAATACATAAGCAAATTTTTTCATAAATTAAATTTGTTGTTTCATTTCGACAAAGTACACAACTTATTCATGGTCCTGGGGAAGTTGGACAGTTGCTTGTAGATCTGCGATTTCTCTTCATTCGTACGCATGAAAGTTCCCTGGCAAGCAATTGTCCTAGATTCATTTATTTTATGTCTTTCTACTAGCATAACTATTATAGTATTTTTTTAATAGCTATATAAATTAAAATACGCACAATAGTATCATTCTACTCATGATTTTTCTGTATTTCTTGTTGGTATAACGGATTAGTCTCGACTACAGCTAAATATTTTTTTCGAAGGATTTGATTTACTTGATTATCTATCATTCAGAAATAAAACATTAGTTTTAAAATTTCTACAAGAAACAGAACATGATATAAGACTTAACTCTTTGTTATATTTAACTGATTGTATTAAATTGTTCATTGCATTACTTCAATAATCATTTGAAAATATTATGTTGTTTACTTACGATTTTTTTACAAGTTCAAAATTGATTTATAGAGAATATTGATCTTAATTAAAAATGAAAAATTCTTCAAACTTACTATTTCGACTATAATTGTAATCGATAAGGTATTCTCTGTTACAAATACTGATATCGATCTAAATAATTAGATCCATTGATGAGCCAACATGAGTCATTTAATCATTGTAGTAATGGCGCAAAAATCTACCATCATTACTATATATTACTTTTTGCTATTTATTTCTATAAGTGTTTCTTGCTTATTATGTATGTCTTGTGTATCTTCGAACTATTTTCTATGAATGACTAGAAATACAAATCAAACTATGAAAAAATGAAAACACTAAATAATTATTCGCATTTGTTTTGTTAGCATAATTTGACAACGAACTAGTTCGATAAAACCTATTTAATGTATTGTGATGTACTTTTACTTAATAAGGAATAATTTTATTGCCTATTACCTTGCAGAGATATTCTTTGACAGCAATAAAAATATTTGATTAGTGAAAGAAAAAAAAACATCTTTATGATTAATATTTAAATGGAAGACATACAAAACCTAAAAATAAAATGTTTAGATCAGTCAATAAAGAAAAACCTTTTTGTCTTAAAAACCAATATAGAATTCTCTATCAGATTAAACCGAAAGTTTAATGTTATCGATTAAAAATCTAATCTAGATATGATGAATTTTATTATCGCATTATTTATTAATATTCTTCTTAGTCATAATTATCAAATCTGTTACATAATCGGCAGTAGAAAAAAAAACTTTACATCTCTAATGTTTACTAACTTTGAAATAGCAATAATGAAGAAAACATTTTATTTAGACCTCTACCTAATAGTAAATTTCGTCCAGTACCACTGCAAGTTGTTACTGAAAATACTCAAACAACAATAGTTCAAAGTACTCTGTTTGCACCAGCAGTTGTCGGTGGTGATGAAGATGTTAATGATTATTATGAAGGTTTTAAAAAAATAAAAAAATTAGCTAATCTTCGTCGTAATGAACAAGATGATGAATTTTTACCATTTCCCGATCAAAGTGGTAAACTTTTACAACCATTTGGTTCAACTATGCCAAAATTTGAATTTAAACCAATAACAAGTTTAACACATAGTCAACAAGCACATTTACATGCACGACGAGTTGCTAATCGACAACAACAACAAAATGATGTACGTCAAGAAATCGATGATTTACTTAATATTGATGATTTTGTTTTACCTGATGGTGATCGTCCATTATCATCAGCTGAATTATCAACAAATGAACAACGTCATTATGGTTTACCACCAAGATTACATCATAAAATGCCAATAGGACCACCAAAAAAAGGATCATTAGGTGATTTACTTAAGCAAAAAAATAAACAATCCGGTGATCGTAGTCCATCACCAATGATCGATGAAAGAAATTTAAAAAGACAACGACAACAACGACGACGACATTCACATTCATTAAGTTCAACTGGTAGTGCACAATGGTCACGATCATCATCGTTATCGAGTAATGATGATCGAATATCAAGAGTAAGAACAACAACAAAAAAAAAAGCAATTAAACAATTGTTGATTAGAATTATTTAATTGTATTCTGTTTTTTTTTCTAGCATTCATCACGTGAAATGACACCATCAATTGAAAACAATCATAATGGTAAACATGAAACAATTGAAAATGATATAACCGATATGAATGATTTATCAAAATTACTTGATTTAAATGAAGAAGATGAATTATTATTACTACAAATTGAAGTTGAACAAGAAGAACGTAATATACGTCGTGAAGAAAAACGTCGACGTAAAGAAGATAAAAAAAATAAAAAATTAAATAAAAAACTGAAATTATTATCAAATATAGATGAACAAAAAATTATTCAACAATGTCTTTATGATCTAATTGAAAATATTTGTCGTCAAGAAGAAAATACATTAAATTTAAAACGAACGTTTGATTATTCAGATGATGAATTATCGAAAAAGATTAAACTAAATGAAAAAAGTTAAAAGTATTATGATTAGTTTTTTTTTTCTTTCTTTTTTTGTGTTTATCTCTGTCGTTGTATTTGTATATATATATATCTAAACGTGTTTCGTTTTCATACCTCAAAAAGAAAGATTCAAACCAATTCAATGAATTATACATATATATTATATATCTTACATGTGACTTTTATTTTAATAATAGACGATGAATTCATAAATGATAAGCAACTTTAAACAATGAATAGTTTTTGAGTCATGGCAAGTATCTTTGCATGTCAAGTTTAATATAAAAGTAATTGACATGTTTTTTTTATCAATGTTCCATATTTGCAAGTTTCATACTTCGGTAAATTTTAGTTCCGGTTTTTGTCCCAAAAGATTTAGCTTGAATGATAATGTGGATAAAAACAAAGTCAAAACAACAAAACTTGTCAATAAGTAAATATCACAAATAGATAAATTAAAAATTAATAAGATTTGCAATATTTTTTGAAGACAAAAATATTCTTACATTAAAATATTAGTACTCAAAGTATGCATAGATATAACGTATATGAAAGATATACGCATAGGTAAATGTCAAATTAAGAGATTCTTTCTCAATGAATCTTGTCAACTTTTTTAAGTATTCTATGAACGTATATTAAAAGTTTAGATCATTTTAACCTAGTGAAATCTTACTTAAAATAATTACAATATAATCTTCTTCTTTGAATGAAATGTTGTTTTCTAAATAGGTATTATCTTGAGAATCACTAATCTGATTTCTATATTCAAATAAATTGAACTAGTTGTTTCCTCTGTTCTTTCTGAATGAAATTATTTAGCAACAAATAACATTTTTTTCTCAATTGTTTCTGAAGTGTTACAATCAATAGGGTTCAAGTACTATTATGTTTCGATTAAATAAAATGCTTAAAGTAATTCACAGTTTTATTATTAAAACGATGTTCAAGCTTGTAACAATGTCGTTATTGATTATTGATTTCTGTAACGTGAAATATAAAAGATGCTATCATGTGCAGAAAGCTGTACGGAATAAGAATGATTGAAAAACATGGCGAATAAGATAAAAGAAAAAAAAAAGTCATGTCACTAAAATTCACCTTTTATAGCAGGTACTTTCATACAAACTTCTCAGAGTCATGCACGAGAAACCATAGAGAATAGTTCTGTATTAATTGTTCACAGGCAAAAGTAAAACTTTGTTAATAATAGATGAATTTATGACATTTGTAGAGATAGGAATATTGAATGATTTCTATTATTGTTTCTCTTCAAAACTATTTATTTATCGAAAAATATGTCTTATTGAAGCTTAAAGCTTTTCTTATTACAAGTCAGCCTTTAAGGAAAACTTCTCTTTAAATTGTCTTTATAATTCGTAGAGAAAAATACAATTTCATTTATCAAAATATTTCATTAATTCTTGTGATGCACAAAATTGTGTTCAAATGAATTAAATAGAAAAAACACTGTGTCATAACATTATTTGCTAATCTAAACAATAAAAGGACCGAAATGCATGAGAAAAACCTTTCAATTTCTTTTAATTTTCAAGATCCAATCTAATTGAGTAATATATTGAACGAAACGTGATGAGTTTCTCATCATCTTGATTCCATCATAGCAGTGAACAGAGTCTATCTTCGCAATATACTAAATAGCCAGTTAAGTATCGATACTAGCCAGTAATGTGAGCATTCATTTTGACAGAAAACACATAAACATGAAGAGTGATTCGAACGTGTTCTGATAATTTTTTTTGTTTAGGTTTCATTTTCATAAAAGAATCATTCATTCAAATAATCTATTGAATCTACTGGACCATATACAAATTATTCATTGCTGATATTTTGAGTCTGAAATACTCATGTGAATTCACTTTGTCATTTAATTATTGTGTTAATGAAACTTCCTCGACACATATTTTACTTCGTAATCGATAGAGCTTTTCAAGTATTACAAAACGAACTAATTTCCACAGTTTAAAACAAGTGGGTGACAGAAAAAATAATGCCGAGTCTATTATTCATGAGGCTTAATTCTTAACTTTTTCAACTAATGTTTGACAGTTAACAAGTACAATAATACTCACGTCACATCAAACAAATATTATATTTGAAATTAGCATAGAAAAATGGAATCTATTTATGTATATTTTAAACTTGTTCTATAACTTGTTTTTCTAACTAAATTTTCACTGTTGAACCCCCATCAGGGATATGTCAAAAAAATGAATTTAATCAACATAACTATTTTATTGTTTGATCACCTGTCCTTTTGCCTTTAAATAGTATTTTATAAGTTTAGAACTTGCTTTCTACTGTCATGATGACTTTTTGATTAAATTCATTTTTCCACAATATCCCGGGAGAGGTTCATGAATGAAAATTTAATCAGAAAAAAAAAGTCACAGAACAAGTTTGAAACATACATAAGGAGGCTTACTTTTTCTATGCTAATTCCAAATATGATATTCTTTTGAAGTGACATGGGTATTATTCTACTGGTTAATCGTCAAATATGAGTCAAAAAAGTTAAAAGTCAGACCTCATAAATAATCGACTTCGGGTTTTATTATGTAGCCCACCTGTATTTTAGACTGTATGAATTAGTTCGTTTTGTAATATTTGAAAAGCTCTATCGATTACGAAGTAAACTACGTGTCGAGGAAGTTTCATTAACACAATAATTAAGTGACAAAGTGAATTCACATGAGTATTTCAGACTCAAAATATCAGCAATGAATAATTTGTATACGGTCCAGTAGATTCAATAAATTATTTGAATGAATGATTCTTTTATGAAAATGAATCCTAAACAAAAGGCTACCAAAATAAATTTGAATTACTCTTTGCCATTATGTGTTTTCTGTCAAAAAAGAAAGCTCACATTACTGGTTAGTAACGATACTTAACTGACCATTTAGTAACTCGTGGAGATAGACTCTGTTCACTGCTATGATCGAATCAAGATGATGAGAAACTCATCACGTTTCATTCAATATATATGACTCAATTATATATCTCTATATGTAGTGCTTGTTCAATTCGTATGTACATATATATATACACACAACAACAATTGTGATGCACATGATTGTCAATTATTTCTAGTTAACAAAAACAACAAGTGTTCATACTCAAGAGAATCATCTAAACCAAGATAAATAATTACATGATAATAAGAAAAGAACTAGTATTCGTAATTGAAAGCACGTCAGCTTGATTGTCATATACCCAAAAGACAAAAAAACTCATTCATCCCAGAAAGTCATTGTTCATTAATTATTATTTAACTAATCAAAAAAAAATTTATAGTTCCTTTAATGTATCAAAATATTTAAAGAAAAACTATATTACTGAAATTAGAAATAATATTCGAAAATAAAATTTTCTTCTATACAAGTCTGATCTAAATCAAAAATTAACGATATACTTGATACAACTATCTAAATATGAGACAGAGAGCAAAAAAAGTTTTTTTTTTCTTTCTTTTACACAATTCGTATAGAAAAAAAAAGAACAACAAGAGAGAAACCGAAGTTCTAAAGAATTAAGCAAGAAAATAGAAGAATATAAAAAGTCAGTTGATCTGTTCACTTAACACTCATTGTGTCTGTGTTTTTTAATAATTATAGATTCTACTTAATAGAAAGACGTTAACAATAATTGAGCATACATTTTGTAGTCATATAATCTGTTTGAAAGTTTGCTTTGTGTGTTTTTCTTTTATTGTCTTTTAAATGAATAATACCTTTCTTTTCTGATTTCCTTGTTATTCATTTAATCAATTGAAAAAAAAAACATTATGTATCATGGGTATTATTATATTCAATTTCATCTCACCGAGAATCTCTAATGTTCGGTATTCGATCTCCTGTTTTGTTTTCTTCTATCATAAACTAATGAGACGGAGAAAAGAAAATTAAACATGAAAAAACAGATACACGATGACTCTCTACAAATCCTCATGAGACATAAGGTTTGCGTGTATCTATCTATCTCTATATATATGTATGCGCGTATTTTAGATTTGAACTGCATTCTTAACCACGCCATTTGTACGACGTTCATCAGTCACTTTCGTTTCTTTCTCTAATATTCTCTCTCGCTAATTCAATCATAATGGTTTCCAGTTCAATAATTTACATGGTTTTCTTCATGATGGGTAAGCTTTTAAAATAGACTCTATGTCAAAAAGTATAATTAAACAGTAATATATCGAACTACAATGATAAATGATCGTATTATTTAGACATAACAAATAAAACTAAATAGCTTTGAAAAGTTTCAATTTTTTCTTTTATCTTTAATATAGACAAAAACATTTGAAAATTACTTTGATTTTTTCTTCTCTAGGCCTTCTTCTTTGGGTTAATTCAATGGATGCTACACAGGTACAAAATAAAGATAATGATCATGACTCCACATCAACCAAAATATTAGATGATGATCAAGATGATGCACTGTCATCACTCGAGACACGAGGTACAGAATACAATGATAATATTCATGATGCATATTCAGGTCTTATCTTGGCCAAAAATCGATTTGGATCACGTGGTATTCGTCTTCCTGCTGAATCGATTCTTCTTGGTAAACGTCGATTACCTGCTGAATCTATTCTTCTTGGCAAACGTCGATTACCTGCTGAATCTATTCTTCTTGGCAAACGCCGATTACCTGTTGAATCTATTCTTCTTGGCAAACGTCGATTACCTGTTGAATCGATTCTTCTTGGCAAACGTCGTTTACCTGTCGAAGCTGTACTCTTAGGTCGACGTAGCTTACCAGATGAAGATGCTGTTCATAGCAAACAACGATAAATAATAAACAAGTTATATTGACATTCCAGTTAAAACACATATTGATAGCACATATACACGTTATTATTTAGAGTGCTATTGTATTTATTAAACAAGAAAGAGAGAATTTTGAAAAATAAAAAATATAGACAAAAAAGAATTCAATGTTTAAAATTTTATGTTTTATATAGTCACAAGAAGCAAGCATATTATTAAGATAAAATAGACAACAGCAGTTTCTAATTGATTACAAAAATCATATATTTATTGATTTTTATTGCACAACAGTAATGTAATTAGAGCATACACTTTGACATTTATGCTCAATAATTAAACGATAAAGTGAAAAATTTCTATGATCATATACGTCTATCGGAAGATCGAACAAAATTAATCCATTCATAAGATAATATAAAACTGTTTCCTCATACAAAAAAAAATTGAACTATTTGACCTTACTAGAATTTGTATTCATATGATAGATAATAGGTCAATATCTATAAATGGCAGGATATAAAGAATAAAAACAATTATTTTGTTTCCTCATAGATCATTAAATATTCAATTAACAAAACTGAAGAACATAAACAAATCACTATTGCAAATTTTGTATGCATCTGATCTAGTGAACTATACTATGTTCTTTTTTTCTTCATAATTCTCATTTTCTCAACAATACTTGGCTTTAAATCGAATTATTGAAATAGAATTCGATAGAAATAGTAGAACAATGGTATGTGTCCGTCGATCTACATTTCTTAGTAATAATAAAACTGAAATATTGATAAAGTTTCAAGCAGAAAATTAGAAATGTTGTTCATGTAGATTAACAAAGTTTTAGACCATCGAGAAAAATAATGTTTATTAAATGGATTATCAAAATTATTTTTTTCTCTATAGGAACATAAGAACATTAGTCTAAGAATTAGTATGTTGATTATGTTTGTCTCTTGTTTTTACTTTTTATTGTTTTTATTTTCTATTAAACCAAGTATCTTCGAATTTTGCGTTCAATATATCAAAAAATAAAGAGAATAAAGACAGTAAGCTACTGGTTTTGATTTTTTTGTTAGCAGATATATGTGTCAGAGTGATTATAAAACTCGTTGATCAAAGGTTTTTCACACAAATTGACTTATTCATATGTAAACTTGAAAACGTTCCACTATTCAAAGAAGTATCACATCAATGAGATCTCACATCGATGCTAAAACAGTTTTTATCTGAATGATAAGGAAAAAGTCTTATTCAAAATAGTGGCAAAATAACAAGAGAAAATATTATTCTACTTCTCGAAATTCTTTAGTTGCTTTTGGGATTCACTTTCATCTGAATGAATTCAGGTAGTATGATAAAGTCTATTACTCAACAGATTCAATGTGATGAAATTTTTTTTCTCTGATGACTTACAACAATATTCTATTTTTGAAGACGAAATCCCTTTGTCTGTAAATAAATCACAAAGATTAATAATTGAATAAGTAGTTTATTTTACTGCATGAATTGTATCGTGGACTCTAAAAACAAAAGTCAACGTAGCGATAAACAACTCGTCATATTTCAGCTAATTTTTTTCAATATGTTTGTGTCCAACATATAAGAATATATTCATTACCAAGAGAGTACAATTTATTTCAGACAAAAAAACGCCGTGAATGTTTCTATCTGAAGTGTAGCATAGCAAATAGAATTTATATGTATTTGATTAAAGATTATCATCATTTCAATTTATAGATTGTGTATAAATAAATGTAATATGATGATCTTTTTTAAATGATAAGGAACCGAATTCAAAAAGAAAAAAAAAACGAATGAAGTTAAAGAAAGAGAAGAATCAATGATTGTTTATTTTTCTGTTTTCGAACAATACGTCATCGTTGAAAGAATTTCAAACATAAAAAGAAAAGTATTTAGACGAATAATGCATAAAAATTTTCTAAAAAAATTTATTTCGCATTAGTAAGAGGTTATCAGGAAGATAGGAAGCATTGGGTTCTTCCAAATTCGACCATGAGTTCATAAAAACATGAACCCACAGCTCCGTATAGATATCTATCCATTAGCATAAAAAGTTTTCTTTTAAGATCTTTAAAACCGATATTATTAATTTTTTTTGAAATGCCAACAGTCAAGTGCTGCCAATTTGACACAAGCAACCTTAATTTCCTGTTTAACTCGATCTGGAATAGCTGGTTATTTTTTGAAAGATGCATAAAACTGATAAATACTTATTAGAACATTAGAAACTGTCGTTTTTTTCTTTTTAATTTTCACAACTATAAATATGCTTAAATAGTGAATTAGTACTAGAATATGGTTTTATAAATAAGTCAATCTTCACGCTGGTGGCATAGAACATATTCTTGATTGATCTCATTTATATAAATGCAATTGAAATTATTCTACACAGATGAAGGTTATGGTGTTACTGTTGGTTTGACACTTTTCAATGACGAATTTTATTTATTAACTGTTCAATTTCTTTTCTGTTAATATTATGATTTTTTTCAATTAAGTCGAAACTTTTAATTTATCAAGCATGAAGTGATGGGAAAATGAAAAACAAGAAATAACTGTATGTTGACTTTTGCTTCTGATAGTATGCAATAACAAATTACAACAAGAAAAATCGAGTGCGGTCCCGATCAGATTCGGATCCAAAGTTTGACTTTTGAGTTTGCAATTCACAACAATGTACCCCTGTAGATCCCTACAGAGGAAATTTGAGCTAACATGAATATTTACATAAAAAGAAGATTCAGTTAAAACAAATAATTAATATGAATATTGAGTGAGTAACAATGATAAATATATATATATATATGTAGAAGATGACTCAAAAGTCAGCTCACCGCAGAACAAATTGAATATCTTCGTCAGAGTTTGACTAAATGAACTGATTTTTCTACCACTGATAAAAACGTATTCATAGCTCATATTCGCAAGAGAAGTATTGGTAAAGACAACTGTGAAAGATTATTGCTGACTTCAATAAAGAATTGTAGCCTTTCATGGATTATGAAAAAAGTAATATAATTTTTTACGTGGCACAAAGTAAACTGAATCTAATTTTTCTATATATTTTTCATATAATTGTTGTTTGATCTGATATTTATATGATAGATACATATCGTAATACCCACTGTGTGCTGAAAGTTTCAGTCATAGACATTACGAATTGATAGAGAAAACTGCAATATAAGTTTTTTATAACTTACGAAAGATTGTAGTATTTAATTTAAGTGACTGATGAGATTTTTAAGTAGTCTTTGGCAATGTTTCTCTTACGATTATGATCTATCAATACTTCTTTATCAATAGTAAAAGAATCAGTTCATTTAGTCAAATTCTGGCGAAAATATTCAATTTTTTTCACGCTTAACTAACTTTTGAGTCATCCTTTATATAAATCTGATCCATTAGAAATATTCAATCAGAGAAAAAGACAGTGAAATATCGTATACGATCGAAGTTGATGTAATCAAGGCTATCTGGATAATATAAACATTTTCTTCTGCTTCTTCTTGATTTATGTTTCACTAATGGTTTCATCATATCATCTGTGATTATACATATGGGGTTAACATAGCAAAAATATTATGACGAATACGATATGCGATTCCAATGAGTTCTATTTTTGATTGTTGAATGATCGTTTACATAGCCGATAAGATTTAAATAAAACATTTGGTTTACTGTATTATTCATGAAAAATTATTATTCTTTTGGAAAGTGTTTCGTCTTCGATTTATTATAACTTTATGAAGTACTCCGAATTCAATCAATTTTAAATAGGGTATTCTTTTTCATCATATCTCATTATATTGATATATCTAATTGCTATTTATTATTCGAAAAGTAGACTATTCATTGTAGTTATTCATTTTTTGTGCTAAACTTTCTAGTATACATATTTTTTATTTGCAAGAAAGTTTCAGTTTTTTCTTCTTATGACTAATTGATACTCCACTGTTATAATAAATATTGATTTTAAACTACATCGGTATCGATGAAATCGAATAACAAAAAAAACAAATATAAATAGAAAATCTTTACAAAAATATTTATATTCTATATAGTTTCTCTATTAGTATAAGTACGATGGCGCTAGTCATCGTTTCTTCCTTATATATTAGAGATGGCACTATTGTAACAATGAAAAAAAAAACATACTGCCTCTTTCGGTGTTAACAGTAACCAGATGAATAATGGCCATCATAGAAGAATCTGTTACATTTTCTATTCAAGTACACAAATCAAACACTTTTGTTTCTTTGCCATGTTTTTTCTATGTCGTGCTATTATTATTTTAGGCTATTTGTTCTAATAAAATATAACAACTAATTTGTTTATTGAATTTTTTTTTCTTTTGTTTTTAGATTAATAGAGTCTTTTTTTTTACAAATCTTCTATGTATTTATGTGTACATTTGAACAAAAATAAAGTTAACTATGAAACAGTGATTATTTTTTCTATGGAAATAAATAAATAATAATTGATTATATATTGAACAAATCCATTCGGATCAAGAGAAAGAAGGTATGTACATTTTTTGTTTTTGCCTTGTGGATTAAATCTCTTTATAGTCACTTAACGTTCATTTGAAGAGGGTTAGTTCTTATCGATCGAATGTTAGTATAGACACAATATTCACATTATCATTTGAATAGGTCTCAATTTTTACTGATAAAACTTATATCTTATACTTAGAACATCTGATTTTTCACTTGACATATTGGAGATTGACTCATAAAATTATTCGTTGATATGTTTGGCTTCTGGCATGTGTGTGTATGCGTGCATACATACTATTCACATATAAAAAAAAAGAAAAGAATCTGAGATTTCTTTTTTTTTTGTATATAAAACAATAGATGCTCTTGACTGTAAAATAAGTTAGCATACTTCCGTTGTCGTTATTGTTTTGTCTCAAGAGAAATACATATTGACCTTGTCAATCTTCGATGGTAATCAGATATCATTGACAGATAAATGTATGTAAGTATTGCTCATCGGGAAGA